GGGGGGGGGGGGGGGGGGGGGGGGGGGGGGGGGGGGGGGGGGGGGGGGGGAGGGGGTGGTGGTTACCGAGATGGTGTTGACAAACTTCAAGCGAGGGCACACCAACGGCACACGCCGCAACGGGTTGGAATCTTCGACATTATTTACACGGCTGTGCGTGTGGGAAAGAACAGAGAAATGCAAAAAACCTCAGAGCCAGGGCACACCAAGTACAACACTCACGGGCACATGCCGCAGCAGGTTCGAACTTTCGACACCATGTACATGGCTGTTTCATGTGCGTGTTGAGAGACAGAAAAGAGACAACGAATGCAACGACAGCCAACGATCCTACTCCTGCGAGAGCAAAAGACAGAAACGATTGTAGGCCCGCGGACAAAGACAAAAACTAGACTCTGACCAAGCACAAGACATGGATATCAGCAACAGTTGTGTCGAATCGCCGCAAAAAATCGAGATTGTTTTCAACGAAGCAAGACACGATACTCCTGCATCAGAGAACGACGACGGCGGCGCCATCAGACGACACACGCAAAAAAGAACACCGCGCATACGACGGACGCCTCGTAGGGTGGAAGCCGAAGTGGCAACACAGATAGATCCCATTGTTTCAGTCGTTGCCGTCCTCCACACGCCAAGAGCAGCACCAGCAGAGAGCAGAAAGGAGGTAAACTCAAAGTCGTGGATGGCCTCAAGCGGTCGCTACATTCCGCAAAAAAAGCCAACCATTCAAAGAACAACAGCGCCAGAGACGTGACCTGGGAGAAGCACTTCACGTTCTCAGCTACACTAAGCCTGGTGGCCCATCTCTCTCATTTTGTCGGTCAATACTGTGTAGTAGTGGTGGATGCCAGTGATAACACAAAATGACGTCACTAAACACACAGCACACCACAGCACACCACAGCACGGCAATACACCACAGGAAAACACAGGACGGCAACGCCAAATCCTCACGGTTGAGTCCGCCCATGTTGCCCGCGCCCTTCTGCGCCAAGCGACGGAGAACTTCCT